AGAAGGACACAGGAAGGCAGCCACGTCAAGGCAGAGGCAGAGATGGGAGTGATGCCACCAGAAGCCAAGGAATGCCAGGGGCCACCAGAAACAGCAAGAGGCAAAGAGGCTCCCCCAGAGTCTTCAGAGGGAGCGTAGCCCCGCTGACACCTTGACCTCTGACGTCTGGCATCCAGAACTGCGAGAGAGTACACTTCTGTTGTCCTCAGCCTCCCAGTTTGTGGTCATTTGCTATGGGAGCCCTAGCAAAGTATTACAATCCCCTTTAGGGTTCCCTCCAACCCTGACTTTCCTCCAAGACAAAGACCCCATCTTCTTCAATTTCTTCTAGAAACTCACAGAGTCTCCTACAGCGTTAACATTACAAAAGAACAGTTCAACAGTATTAACTTCATTCCTCTTGGGAGGTTAAAAGGAGATAATTGTATAAATTAAACTCAGTATCTTGAGGTAAGTGTAGACTCCTACGCAGCTCTAAGAGACAAGGCTGAGGTCCAATGTGTTCTCGCCCCAGTTTCTTTCCTTTTTTTTTTTAATGGAAGTACTGGGGATTGAACCCAGGACCTCATGCATGTGCACATGTGTGTACTTTGTTCTATCCACCGCCACAAAGATACACAACAATTTCATCACAACGACTACAGTGATGGTATTTTCATCCTGCAAAAATATGCTCTATCTGTTTCTATACCTACAGATATTAACGCGATGGCTGGTTCAGAGACAGATGAGAAAGCACGTTTTACTCAGTGAGTACAACAGAAAGGAAACATTTTCCAGGGACTGCGGGGTAACAGGTGAGAAAAGAAATGTAGATGTTGAACCAGAGCAGCTTCCTCCAGCAGGACCCTGCCCCGTACCTTGTCCTTCTTGTCCTGCCGGGCGTAGGGGAAGCACGGGATCACGGCGGTCACCCTGGAGGACGACGCGATCTTGCAGGCGTTGATCATGATGAGGAGTTCCATCAGGTTGTCGTTGATCTCGCCGCAGCCACTCTGGATGATGTAGACATCCTCCCCCCTCACACTTTCACCAATCTCCACGCTAGGGAAAAGGAAGATGCCACTTGTTAATATCAAAGGAGCGCTGCGACCACCCCCAGGGTTGGTGACTGGCAGGCTGTAGTCCTCACGGCTATGACTCGTTACCCTGGAAGGAGACAGAGCAAAATCAGCAAAGGGAAAAAGCAGACGGGCGAGGTCTGGGGAGACCTGGTGCCAGCTTCCGGGAGTCCTCCCCTCCGCCGTGGAGTCAGAGGTCGTCTTAATTCCCCCGGCAACGAGCTGTCACAACACACATGAAGTGCTGCCCACAGGGAAGCTCCTCAGAGACTCGGTGCCTGGGGTTTTATTGGGGGCGCATCACGTAGGCACTCTCTGCTTACCAAGTCCCCAAATTCCAGACTCCCGGGCAATCAGTGTTAGCCACATGGTTTATACAGTTCAGCAATGAGCCATTCCACAGGGGACGGTGGGAAACCTTGCAAAAGCTAAGTTCCCAGGGGTCAGCCGAGGGCCACCTTGCAAAGTGGCCTTTTTCCTCTGTGAGGGGATCTCATCTGCTCTTTAGAAATTCACCTCGGGCCTGTGATCTTAACTCTTTTCTGCAAAATACTGTATTTTAGTTTTTTACTTCTATTAACATTACCTATACGTATTGCTTAGAAAATTCAAATCATTCTGTATGGCTTGTAACAAACAGCCCAGAGGCAGCCAATTTCAACTCTTGAAGATAAACAGCTAAAAACTGTATCAAGTCCCTCACTCACGATTGTATTGCTTCACTTTGATGTTTCATTTTCAGCATCACGTGTGAGGATGAGATTTACCTCTGCCTCCTCCGGGTACCACCATCAGCACCGCGGGCAGCCTGCCCATCTCCATCCTGCCATCCTCCCAACGTAGGTCAGGATTTCTAACCAAGTCTTAAGGCTACATTTTAACTGTGTCAATGCCATTCACACTTGAGCCACGGAGTCAGCTAAAAGCCAAGTTTGATTTCCCTTTTATGCAGTTTTTTTTTTTTGGTCTGTTTACCCTGGAGGAAAGTATCCTACCTTTTCATCTGGGAAGTTTTCTACATACTGAATACAGATGGCAGTCCTGACGCCTGGGTGACAATCTAAACCCCACGATGTCAGAGGCCTTGAGGGGTCTCCCTTTCACCGTCCTCCCTGAGCTGGCTGACCCAGGTTCTCCTTCCACCCATGTACGGCTGCCCCCTGGGGAGCCCCTCCACTCCGCGACTTCCCACCTTCTGTGCCTCATCTTGGGGTCTTCCTTGTTCTGCTGATTGGTATCCTCCAGTAGCTTCTTGAGAAAGAGCAGGTGGGCGCTCAAAAGTCTTTGAAAATTGCTTATTAGAAAATTTCCATACTTCGGGTGTAGAATTATGGGTGCTCAACATGAGAACAAGCCGGCCCAACGCTGGCATACACACGTACACAATTATCCGCATTCCTCCTCCTGCCATAAGCCAATTTACCCAACGGTATTGTTCTATGAAAAGAGCCAATTATTTCTCAAGAAAATTTAAATGCCAGTGACATTTGGAATACCACAGTCTATCAACAGAAGCTTCTACTTAACTTCAAGTAGAATTAGAAGACGAAAATGACATGTTTCAAGTGGACGTGAAGTGAAAATGAGTTCTGATAAGAGTGGGTCATACTCTCACGTGTGCTTTGCTACCGATGGAAAGAGTACGATGCCAGCCTCAGGATGAGAGTGAGACAGACAGCAGTCTGTGTGCTCCCGCCTATCTCGAGTGTTAAGGAGCTCAATGTAATTCCTTTGTGAGCATCACAGTGACCATGGGGTGAAGTCAATTTGGAGATCGCAGGGTCGACCATCTACAGCCCAGGAGCTGAGAATGGTGTGGGAGGCAGAACAATGACCTTCCGGAGACGTCTCTGTCCCAATCCCCAGAACCTTATGTTAGTTTACATGGCCAAGGGGAAGCAAGGTGGTAGATGGAATTAAGGTTACTTAGACCGCTGACCTTAAAACAGAGAGATTATCCTGGTTATTGTAGTGGGCCCAGTGTCATCACAAGGGTCCCTAAAAATGAAAGAGGGAGAGAGAAGAGGTCGGAGAAAGATGTGAGAACAGAAGCCGGGTGAGACGTGCTCTGTTGCTGGCTTTGAGGATGGAAGAAGGGGCAAAGAGCCAAGGAATGCAGGCAGCCTCGAAGAGCTGGACAAGACCAGGAATGGATCCCCTCCTGGAGCCTCCAGAAGGGTACGCAGGGACCCACGATGAACTTCTCCCCTAAAGAACTGTAGATGGTAGCGACAGAGCAGACGTGGGCCCCCAAAGCCTAAAATAACCACTATCTGGCCCCTTACAGAAAAAGCCTGCCAACTCCTGGCGTTATGACTGTTTCTCCCCCAAATTTCAGCTTCTTTGGCCTATTTTTCCTCAGGAACCTCAATCTTCATATGACTAGCAGTCCAGGGGAAGATGGAAAAATACATCCGGTCACCATGGCAACTTTCCCCCCCAAGCTATTCCTGCTTCTACTCACAAAGATGGTCACGGCTGATCTTTATTCTGAGTCTTTCAAACACTGTGGCCAGAAGGCGGCATCCACGGGCTGTTCAGACAGAGGCTCTTTACTGATCCCGAAATAAGAAGGCTGATGAGTTTATCTGAGTCAACAACGAATGGGTGTGGTCATTAAAAGATGGCCACAGACTCTAACACTTTTCCCACCAACAAGTGCAGTCTGCGGGGGAGGGTACAGCTCAGTGGTAGAGCGTGTGCCCAGCATGCACAATGTCCTGGGTTCCATCCCCAGTACCTCCATTTAAAAAGTAAATAAATAAATAAGCCCGGGCCTTAACAGACTGGCCTCTCCCACTTTCCATTTCTGGAATCCTTGGGCTTGGACCCCAGCTTCCATGCTCTACCAAGGAAGCTCCAGCAGCCCTGCGGAGAGGTACTGAGGCTCCTAATCGAGCTTCCAGGCCCAAGCTAGGGCCAGCTTACCAGCCATGTGAGTGAGCCATCTTAGAAGTGGCTCCTCCAGCCTGTTACCCGTCCCAGATGCCACCACTGGGGCCTGCCCAAATTGCAGGTCTGAGAGTCAAATCAACAATTATTGGGACGATTTATTACACAACAGAGAACCAGAACTTGGGGTCATACAATACAGCTAAGGAACCCGTGGGCAGGTTAACAGACCAGCGTGAAGTGTTACCACAGACTTTCAGACACCATCATCAGTGCTGTCCCACCGTGGGATTTCAGTGGTCTGTTGTAAAGCTGGGCCCAACAGCTCCCTGCAGAGCTGAAATGATTTCGAGATGAGAAGGTAAAATCACAAAGCTCTGTGTCCGATTAGGTAGTGTTTTTAAAATGGGGAATGGGAGGAGTGACGACCAGCAGACAGCAAGCCAGATTTCTGGTCCTGGCTCAGGGAGATTTAGGAAGGGGCCCCTGACCTGAAATGAATCAATTCTCTCCTCCTTTTGCCCTTCTGTTTCTCATCTCCAGCACCACATGGTAAAAAACTGGATCAGTAGCACAGTACTTGGTACAGGGGGGACTGTTTGTAAAAATCAGTCTCTGGACCTAGACAGCTCATGGGAAAGAGAAAAGTCAGCCAGTTAACCTTTTACAGTCTAGATATTAAAAACACAAACTGTAACTATATAAGCTATATATATATATATATATATATATTGCTTTTATATTCTATATGCAATATATACTAAGTACATATACAATGAATAAACATTGAATATATGTATTCAATATATATATTGCATGAAACAATGTAACTTCACACTGAGTAGTTTTTGAAACCTCATGATTTCTAATTATCAAGTGGTACTTATAAAAATACTCAAAACCAAATAAAAATTTCTCATTGACTTATACAACACCAACTCCTGAACAAAAACTGTGACCTCATTTATTTTTTTTCACTTTTGTTGCAGGGGCAATTAGGTTTATTTATTTTTTTATTTAATGGAGGCTCCAGGGATTGAACCCAGGACTTCATGCATGTTAGGAAGACGCTCTGCCACTGAGCTATACCCTCCTCCTCTGAGCCCATTCCTCTTAAAGCTACTGAAACTCAGGACTGGCAAAATACTGCAGCATTCAAACCAGAGCACTCTCCTCCAGGGCCCTAGACATCCTTCGAGGCTTCTGTATTCAACTCTGCAAAGTACAATTCTTCAGCTGAAAGACACTTGCATTAACACCCCCTGATACTCATTCACAAGTGTTTCTTCACTTATACTATCATCAGGGCCATGCAATGGTGATTTCCCACCTGGAAGAAGGGTTTCACATATCCTAAAAAGCTGATTCAACAGCAAAACCATCTTCTCTGATATGTAATAATACACCTCCCTCAGTATCCAAGCAATCCTTACCTAACCCATGATCATCAAGATTTTCTCCCAGGAATGTCCAACTTTAGGTTTTACGGTTAGGCCTATGATCCATTTCAAGTTAATTTCTGAAATGGTGGAAAGTATGGCTGGAGTTTTGTTTTGTTTTGTTTTTTTGCAGCTGTCAACAACTGATGCAGCACCACTTGCTGAAAACGTTGGCCGAACTGGATCTCTGCCAAAGATATCAAAATGATCAGTAACTGAGGACAGCGGTAGACATATAAGTTAGAGGAGAATGAGATCAACTTGAAATTAGTCAAAGAGCTCCGTGGACTCAGGCAAGTGGGAAAAAAAGGAGCCACTGGCCCAGCTCCTGAGGGGGCCACCAGCCGGACCTCAGTGAACAGAGGTGACCACTTCTTGTGGACCTCAGACACGGGTAACAGTTACACTCAAGCCACTGCCTTGCTGCTGGAACCCAGCAGAGTCCCATGACAACGAAGAAGCTGAAATAACAAAGTCCATCATCTCTGAAGCAGACAAGTTAGAGTTGGCACAAGGGATCCCAGCACGTGTGCCCTGGAGTTCGCAGGCTCTTTAAACCCTTTGCACAACCACACCCTCGGGATACCTCAGAAGTCTGCACCCTGGCAGCTCAGGACTGTCACCTGGGAGCTTTTAAAACGCCGATTCCCAGACCTGGGATCAGAACCTCCGGGGCAGGG